TGCACGTGCCCGCTCGCTTATATACCAATACAGGCATATAATACTAACACATTTGTTTTGCCACAAATAATATGTGTGTTAATTTAAACCAACTAAGTGCATTTAATTAGCCAACGTGGAACTAAAACTCACATACTACTAATTAAACACATTTTAATTTTTAGCTATAGAATCCAAACATTAAATGATATCTTTCCATTAAACCCCTCAAAGATTCATTTATTTCAACAATCCCCCATAATTCCATAGCTGAAAGTAATAAAGATTTTACATATCATGCTTTCAGAGAAGGTATCTTCCGATTTGAACCTTCCCTATAGTTATCCAATTTTATCACCACAGGCATGAAGTGAAACTATGTCTTGAACTTGAACCTTTAATGTGGTGGTATTTATTGGTAAGAACACGATATAGGCTATAGAAGCAATCTTTAGGTTTGACGCATTATGGTCATGCGTCCTTATCCTTTTCATGAACAATTTTAAGGAATAACCTACTTCCTCTAATTGCGGCCACACACTTATGTTCATATAGTTGGGCATCTCTAGGGATGCACTGCTTGCATCTTGTCTTAAAGACTTGATCCTATCCAGAGTCGAAACACTCTTACTATACTAGCAGTTATCAACACCTTCTAGGTATACATGATGATAGACTCAGATACAAAGTATCAATCTATGATTAGATGTTTAACTCACCCAATAGTTTGTTATTACCACATTGAACCTACTTTGTGGGATCTCCACTTAGATAGGTTGGGTTGCTATTGTCGATGAGTTAGGTAAGGGTTTCAGTCTCATCATCAACATGGATTTAAGAACTAGTGACAACTCTAGTCCTTTTGTAAAGGGATCTGCTATATTGTCCTTAGACCTAACAAAGTCCACAACAATTATCCCATCATCAACAAACTTCTTCACAGTCTTTATCCGTATTTGGATATGACCTCGAGTTTTGCGGTTATACTTTGAACTTTTAATTCTTACAATTGTGGTCATATCGTCACATTGTACAGAAATTGTAGGAATATGATTGCTGATCATGGGCAACTTGGACATAAGTCCCTTAAGCCATTCAGCTTTTAAACCAGTAGTGTCTAAAGCGCAAAGTTCTACCTCAAATGTAGACCGAGACAAAATAGTCTGTTTGACAGATCTCTAGGCGACAACGTCGACACCTAAGGTAAATACATACCCTGTACGACCATTGCTACCTGAATCCATAGAAATCATTGCTACCTGAACCCATAGGAATCCAGCTAGCATCACTGTATCCCTCCATAATGGGAGGGAATCTGCCGTAATGCAGCGCAAGGGAAACAGTTTCCTTTAAATACTGAAGTATCTTATTTGGACAGCAAGTGTATCTACTTAATTTAGAAACTGAGTAAGATATATCCGGTCTCGAACAATTTGCAAGATACATCAAGCTTCTAATGATCCGAGAATATCTCAATTGAGATACAGAGACTCCACTTTCATTCTTGTAAAGAGTTACTGAAGGATTATATGGAGTTTTGATGGGTTTGCAATTCTTATAGCCAACTTTCTCAATAATATTCTCAACATAGTGAGATTGAGAAATAGCTATACCCTCAACTGATCTTATCAGTTTTAGGCCAAGAATCATGTCAGCAACTCTCATGTTCTTCATTTCAAACTTACTACTCAAGAATAACTTAGTCTCATTGATTATTCCAATGTTAAATTCAAACAATAGAATATTTGCATAGAAGAGTACAAGAATCACCTTTTACTTTGCTAGAAACGCACTTATCAGACTAAATCATTTTGAAACCAAAATTAGTGATTGTTGTATCAAACCTTTTATACCATTTTTTAGGGGTTTGTTTAAGTCCGTATAGAGACTTCACAAGCTTACACACTTTTCTTTCATTTCCAGGTGCTACAAATCCCTCAGGCTGATCAATATAAATCTCTTCTTTAAGAAAACCATGAAGAAAAACAGTTTTTACATGCATCTGGTGGATTGTAAAATCATATATTGAAGCTAATGCTATAAGCATTCTGAATGTAGTCATTCGGGCAACTAAAGAGTATGTGTCAAAGAAATCAATTCCTTCAAATTGTTT